GGCAATACATTTCTTACCAGTTTCCCAGGACTTTGTGCACTGGTGGTAGGAATATAAAATGTAGCTATTATGGAAATCAGTTTGGTGGTTCCTCAAAAATAACAAATACAACCTCCATATAATCTTGCAATGTCACTTGTAAGTAAGTGTATACCCAAAGAAATGGAAAGTAGGGTCTCAAAAGAGATATATGTTAGCCCACATTCACAGAAGAATTGTTCACAACAGTAAAAGCAACTCAAATGTCCATTGATAGAATAATGGATTTTTAAAAATGTGGTATATAAAATGGAACACAATTCAGCCTTAAAAGAGAAGGAAATTCTGGCACACTAGTACCACATGCATGAAACTTGATGACATTCCCAGTCAAAAAGAAGAAAATGCTGTATGGTTTCACTTGGATGAGGTATCTAGAGTAGTCAAACTCACAAAACAGAAAGTGGAATCATGACTGCCAGGGGATAGGAGAAGGGGAGAAAAGGGGTTTGCTGTTTAATGAGCACAAAGTTCTAGTTTTTCAAGATGAAAACATTCTGGAAATCTGTTGCACAGTAATGTGAATATAAATTGTATATTTAAAAATGGTTCAGATGTTAAATTTTTTTATTATGGCCCCCAAGGCTCTACATGCTCTTGTCTCTCTCACTATGTCTCTGACTTCATATTCCACCTCTGTGCCCCTTCTGTTGGGGGCCACCCTGCACACAAGCTAAGCATACCCCCTCAGCCTTGAGTAATGAGGGTATTGAACCAGCATTACATGCTGTGCGAAGCAAGTGGGCCTTACCTTTGCCCAGCAAGGAAATACCTCAGCACTGGGCTTGGGTGTCACCCAATGGGATTGGGCTACCCCATTTCTTGTAACACTACCCCTTGCCTTATTTGGGTGGAATATTCTACCAAATTCATTTCCCTAATAAATAGAGGGGTTTCAGGTGCACTTTCACTCTTGCTTTTTTCCAGTGCTACCCAGCGCAGAGCTGACCCTTAGGGTCACAGAGCAGTCCCACCCTCGAAACACATGTTCAAGTGTTGCATGGTTTCTTTGCCAATTTTCTTAGTTTATTGTTGCAGCCAGCTCCTTTGAACCCAGCCAGGCCAGCTGGTAACAACTGAAGGCCTCACTGGGATATTTTTAAGGTAATTGGTGAAATGTATATTGTTAAGCTCAGTCCTCTCTCATAGAAAAAGCATGCTTATTGTGGATTTTTTGCATTTTAAAATATTAAGGTAAGAAATTTTTAGATTTAGGTACTAGGGATCGATGTTTATAGAGTAAGAGGAGAGAGGAAAGATTTTTTTATAGTGGGATATTAATACAAGGAATTCTCTATTTCTAGAGAAGCAAATACTGGTTTTTCTACTGTTTTTGAAATATTCAAACAATTTAAATTGGGCCAATAAAATCTGCTAAACTCATTTAATCCTTATTGTATATTGAGATCATATAAGCTGTAACCCAGCTGCTTCTCTAAGACAGTTGCAGGACTTTAACCTGCTGCTGACAATATTTTTGCCCCTTAGATAACCTAGTCTGGCCAAACGCAGGCTGCCCTAAAGACTAATAACGCAGCTGTCTGATGCTGGAGCCATCAACGCTTTGGGGTTGGAAGATTTGTGAGACCCCATGGGAGCACTCACGATGTGAAGGGGGAGTGCAGGCAAGTGGACTAGGAATGCTAACATTGACTGCTGCTTGCAGAAACATGAGCTCAACACAGCCGCTATAGAATCCCGCCCAGGCCCAACAATACAGCAGCACCCAAAGAGCCTTTGTTGGTCCTGGATAGTTCTGAGCCACACCAACTAGAAAGGCTCTGGGAATGTTTGCAGCTAATAAGACTGGTAAAATTGCATATGCTGAACCAAGAAACCATAGGAGCCAAATATGACACCAGCAACCCAAGCAATGGCAGAATGCCCACCTATAAGATCAGGTCACCAAGGGTTTAAAGTGGGGGAAATGCAGACAGACAAGCCTAGGGCCAAAGACTCATGCCTAGGAGCCAGGTACAGTGTACAATGGCAGCCCAGGAATAAGCAAAGTGCTGAGGGGGCCTTTGATGATGCCCGCTGCTGAGCAGCATTAGCTCCACTACACGGTAACCAGTAGCAACCCCTGTGGGACCCCAGAAGGAGCAACACAGAGCCACGGAGGCATGATGCTCAGGACCACAGGGTTAAGCCAGGACTACTGATAGTCAGACATGCAAAACACTCAGGACCAGGTGATACACAAGATAAAAATCTCACAATTTCAGGCAAAACTTTGGGTCATAGAGAACACGGAAGAATTTTCCAGCAGCTGGAACAACATGTGGGATAAGTCCCTCCTCCCGCACTTTTGTGGGCTTCCATTTACTCTTTCTCACTGTCACTCAGGCAGACCTTCCAGCTCGCCTCCCACTCACTAACCTGTACTTCCTGATTCACTCCGGCTCACAGTCGGTTAGGGAACTTGCATTTTACAGTTTCCTTAACAAGGTCCAGCTGTCAAAAATTTTTTAACAAAAAACATTTCTTTTAAGACAGAATGAGAGTCAACAAACTCCTGCAGGGAACCCCTGAGCCTAACTTATTTTCAAATAAAATTTATTTAAATCTGACTTTTTTTATCCCTCGACAGGTTCCCTCAAGAATCCTCTTTCTTTTTTCTTTGTACATACTACTAAGAAAACATTGCAAGGATAATGTTACATTTATGAGAGATGTCATGCATATGCTTGTTTATATTTTACTTTTATTTTTGAAAGTTGTGGGGATGAATTTGTTCATCAAGAGAATAAAAAGCCAGCAACCTGAGATGTTTTTCTCAAAATGCTCTCATGATGACCAAAAATCCTCATTCCTTTGATTTCTGTGAAAATACAAAAAATGAATATTCTAACTACATTATGTGATGTCACACAGACATAAGGGTATACTCCTATTGTTGAAAGTAAAATAAAATTAATCCAAATACTTTCAAGAACCAAGTGGTTTAATGAG